GACGCCACTTTACGGGATGGAATTGCGTAACTGGAGGACGGTAGACTGGGAGGGAAGGAGGGAGGGAAGGAGGGAAGGAGGGAGGGAAGGAGTGAAGGAGGGAGGGAAGGAGGGAGGGAAGGAGTGAAGGAGGGAGGGAAGGAGGGACAGAGGAAAGGAGGGAGGGAGGGAGGGAAGGAGGGAGGGAAGGAATATCGGAGACACGGAGGAAAAGAATATTGGAGGGAGGGAGACTGGGAGTGGCGGAGACGAGGAAGGTTGGAGAAAGGAAGAGATAGATTGTTGGAGGGAGGGTTGGAGAGAGGGAGGAGAGGAGGGAGAGGGAGGAGTTTCTGTAAAATAAATACAGGAATGAATATGATAGATATTAATGTTGGGGAAAGTGAGGGAGTAATGAAGGAGTACGGAAGGTATAATAATAATAATAATAATAATAATAATAATAATAATAATAATTATTATTATTATTATTATTATTTATTATTATTATTATTATTATTATATTATTATTAATATTACTAGTGTTATTGTTGTTTTTATTATTACAACTAGTAATAATATTATAATAATAATATTAGTAATAATATTACAATTAGTAATACCAATAACATTAGCAATAACAATAATACTACCTACCTGGAGTCTACCTCCAGGTAGACTCCAGGTAGACTCCAGGTAGACTCCAGGTAGACTCCAGGTAGACTCCAGATAGACTCCAGGTAGACTCCAGGTAGACTCCAGGTAGACTCCAGGTAGACTCCAGGTAGACTCCAGGTAGACTCCAGGTAGACTCCAGATAGACTCCAGGTAGACTCCAGGTAGACTCCAGGTAGACTCCAGGTAGACTCCAGGTAGACTCCAGGTAGACTCCAGGTAGACTCCAGGTAGACTCCAGGTAGACTCCAGATAGACTCCAGGTAGACTACAGATAGACTCCAGGTAGACTCCAGGTAGACTCCAGGTAGACTCCAGGTAGACTCCAGGTAGACTCCAGGTAGACTCCAGGTAGACTCCAGGTAGACTACAGATAGACTCCAGGTAGACTCCAGGTAGACTCCAGGTAGACTCCAGGTAGACTCCAGGTAGACTCCAGGTAGGTAGTATTATTGTTATTGCTAATGTTATTGGTATTCCTTTTATTACTTTTGTTATTATTATTATTATTATTATTATTATTATTATTATTATTATTAGTAGTAGTAGTAGTAGTAGTAGTAGTAATAATAGTATTTATATTAAATTTTATCATTATAATAATTATTATTATTATCATTATTGTAGTTATTATCATTATTATTATTATTATTGTAGTTACTATTATCACCATCATCATCATTATCACCATCATCATCATTATCATCATCATCATCATCATCATCATCATCATCATCATCATCATCATCATTATCATCATCATCATCATCATCATCATCATCATCATCATCATCATCATCATCATCATCATCATCATCATCATCATCATCATCATCATCATCATCATCATCATCATCACACCCTGCTTACCGTCTGATGCGGTAATTCCCTCACCCCTTTAATAAGAAAACAATTACTTAGCAGTATGGTATCGTGGACCCCTAGTACTGCCTGTGTCTCACCAGTATTGTTGTACGATCACTGTCTGCCACTCTATCACCCTTGAGATCTATTATACGGCTTTTCCTATGTATTGTACTCAGTACGTATTGTACGTTATCCGTACTGTACCCATTATGTATTGTATCTTGTCTGTATTGTACACAATATGTATTGTATCGTGTCTGTACTTGAAACCTTTTCTGTAATGGATATTGCTTTTGGATGTGTATATACCTGTTATGGGAGGTCTATATACCTCGTTTTGAGAGGTCTATATGCCTCGGTTTTGGATGGTTATATACCTCAGTTTTATAGGCCTATGTACCTCATTTTTAGAGGCCTTTATACCTCATTTTTACAAGCCTATGTACCTCATTTTTGAAGGCCTATATACCTCGTTTATGGAGGCCTATATATCTCGTTTTTGGAAGCCCATACACCTCATTTTTGTAAGTCTATATACCTCATTTTGGTAGCCCTATATACCTCATTTTTGTAGACCCATATACCTCATTTTGGAGACCTATATACCTCATCTTTGGATGCCTATATACCTCAATTTTTTAGACATTTATTTTACTTCAGAGGTCAAAATACCACAACAAGGTTCATTTCCCCTCACTTCTGTTTCTTCCTCGTCTCTTATTTCTCACCGTCTCACTACTCCTGAAAGGGGAAATTCCCCTCTTTCCTCTATATTCATCCTCTTCCTTCCTATTCCTCCCTTCCTCCCTCGAGCCGTCTCTCGGCCTCTCGTCATGTATTTTCCGTTTTTTTTATCATTCGTTTTATTTACCGTTCGTTCTTTATTTATCGTTCCATCGCTGAACTTTTTGGCTGTCAGAGTTATCAACTATTTTTTTAAAAGAGAGAAAAAATCACATTTCATCAAGTCTAGAAAAGCCAATACGAATTTTCTTTGAAAGTCCATTTGGCTAAGACTCTATAACAGATCAATAATCATTGATGAAAACCTATAATTACAAGGGATGAGAGGGAATAGTTAGGGGTAATTTGAACGATAAGGGAAATTTTGATATGTAGCCCAGTGGAAATAAGTCAAGGACCCCACCTCTTTGAGGAACTTTAGAGCACACTTGCCCCATGCTCCAAGAGTCTCCGACCCTATTGGGATGAAGCTATAGCAAGGGGGAAGGCCTTCATATTTGCGGGTCTTCTGTTTCTCCCTGTAGCTGGCAGCTCCACCTTCAGCTTCAGAGTATGGCAAGTAGGTGTCTGCCAATGTGGAGGCACAAGTGTAGTCCCAGGCAAACTGTTTACCATCCTTCCAGGGTAGCGTAGTGGCTCCATTAGGACGCTTTTGACTTCCGTCAGACCTCTGTACTTGGGGTTCCCGTTGAGCTGGGCATCGGGCTGTGGCGAGGCTTCTCTTTATGATGTCATTGACCTCCTCATGACTAACATACTTCCCTTCTGATGTGTGATACACGAGTCCATGAAGTCCGAATTGATCAGCCGTCGTCCTGCCGCAAATACACCTATGTTCGGTGAGGATGGGGGCGGCTAGGCGAAGAGCAACACCAATCCGAATGGCCTGTGGGTCGAGTCGCCCAGAGAGAAATTGAGAACAGCTAACAGGAAATCTCCTGAGTGTGGTGCCTTCACTGCCAGGAGACGAGCTTTGTCCTTTCCTGAAGCTTTAGTGAGCATCGTGTTGGCGATTTTTCCATGATCGGTTTGTTCCAGTGGGACTGTTTGTGCTCTTTGGGAGGAGCTGGTCTACTGGAGGAGACTGCAAGGGTGTCCCACTGCATGGCTGCTTCAATGAACCTGGGGTCTTGAGCCCCTACCACACCTCTCAAGCGTTCGGGGACAATCTCCTTGACTAGTCCATTGGAAGCCAAACACGAAGACAAAAAATGCAGGTAAAGCTACCTGCGCTGCATTGCGTATCCTTATACCTCCCAGTCGCACTGGGAGGGTTTCCTGATCCCATTGCTCATCTTTCTTTTTTTTTTTTTACACAGGGTTTGACAAGGTTAAGGATCCCTAGCTTTATTGACAAGCTATTTACAGGTTAAGGATTCCTAACTTTATTGACAAGCTAAGAGCTGTTACCTACATCAGCTCATTTGAAAGCATTTTTATTGTTATGAGACATACAAGTAGGGAACAGGATGAAGTTGGAGCCATCTGTGGGCCAGCATTTTCATTTAATCAAACCCCTGGCTGCCTTCAAGAGAGAACTGGACAGATACCTAAAGTCAGTGCCGGATCAGCCGGGCTGTAGCTCGTACGTTGGACTGCGTGCGGCCAGCAGTAACAGCCTAGTTGATCAGGCCCTGATCCACCGGAAGGTCTGGTCATGGACCGGGCCGCGGGGGCGTTGGTCCCCGGAATAACCTCCAGGTAACTGGCTTTATCTCATTGACATCATTATGCTGTACGAATGTGTTCCATACTCGAGTCATCCTGGGTATATATGATCTCAGATGGAGTGATGTTCTGGAGAAGGGTACTATATAATATATATATATATATAATATAATATATATATATATATATATATATATATATATATATATATATATATACATATATATATATATATATATATATATATATATATATATATATATATATATATATATATATATATATATATATATATACTATATATATATATATATATATATATATATATATATATATATATATATATATATATATATATATATATATACATGTATATATATATATATATATATATATATATATATAATATATATATATATATATATATATATATATATATATATATATATATATATATAATATTATATCCTTCTCAGTGTATATATCCCATTGTTGATATATATGGCAACTCTCTGCCCTATGGCGCATGATTGCCGTTGGGGAATTTTAATTATTTTTTCACAAAATTAATGTAATTGTCTACAATTTGGCATTATAATAAAAATTATAGAAGCCTTGGTCCTGGGTGACCAATGTTAGATTATTAAGATTAACTGAGTTGTATAGGGAGATAGGTCGTTATGGAGGGTGAGGGACGGAGGGAGAGGGAGAGAGAGGGGAAATTGAGAGAGGGAGGGTGAGTGATAGACGGTTGGAAGGAGGGGGAGGAACGAGAGGGAGAAACACACAGAGGGAGGGTTATATGGATGGAACTAAGACATTTGACGAATGTCTTCAAGATCTCTCTCTCTCTCTGTCTCTCTCTGACTATGTATTTATCTACCTATCTTCCCATATCTGTCTCCTTCCCATCACTCTCCATCACTATTCCCTCACATAGACACAATTCCGCCTCTTCTCTAGCACAAATCACAAAAAAAATTCCACCAGGAATTTACACTCATTGTGACAGCCTGGCAGATCCTTGTTTGCCGTACGACACCTTGGGCCAGTGAGGAACCAACCCGCTGCCGGGATGGACAGTGCTGCCAGTGCCGCGACGTGGTGCGGACAAAGGACTAGTGTAGGATATATGACTATACACATCCATACACACGTCTATATACACCTATATAAATAGTTTGTGTGTGCGCGAAACGAGGTAAATCACCCCAGGAAGGATGTAAGAGGCGCTCGTTTCGAAGGTCAGTGAAATTTCAACTCAGGTGAAGTGAAACGCAGAAATGTACGATTTATTCTCTATGTCATGTTTATG